ATAGGAGAAGGGAAAAGAAAGGTTGGAGGGAAAGAAAGAATAGTAAGAAAAAGGAAGAGTTGGACTGAGGAGAAAGATCACAGATATAGAATGGAAAGTTGGAAAGAGAAGGGAAGAGCTATATAGAGCGGGGGTAGATTGTAAGGGGGTTTGGATTGCAAAACTTAGGTGAATATTTGTATTTTGGTTGTAAATGATACTTTGCTGTGTTTTTGTAATGGAAAAAAAGTTTAAATAAAAGATTTAAAAAAAGAAAAGAAAAAAAGAAACATAAATAAGTGATGGCAGAAAACAAAACCAAGTGGTCCACCGAGTCTTTCTTTTTTAAAAAATGTATACACATTTTTTGTATTTTTGTATTTTTTGTTTTTTTTTTTGTTAGCTTTTTTGTCTGAGTATAGATCTATGTTTGTCTCAAGCATGTTTGAAGCCACTTACTGTTAACTGACTCACTACCTCTGCTAGAAGTCTATTTCAAGCATCAAATAGTAAAAATAATACTTTCTTAGATTCATTTTGAACTTCCTTTTCTTGGTTTCCATATTGAAAATTCTTCCCTCTTGAACTTTATTCACCCTCTTCATATCCATGTTGATGTGCATCTGTATATCTAAGGTTATATGCTGGCTGCATTAGTTCCTCTGCTCCCAATTACCTTGATTAGGTTACTTATAAATTTCCAAGGAAGGAAATCCCCTAAATTCACAGTGACCCTGTCCTAGGTGGAGGCATTGTCAACATTATTATCAAACCTTCTCTTCCACTTAGCAAAGGTTCTGGTTCTCAGGTTTAGCAAAATATCCTGATTGGGGAGGGGCATTTCTCATACCCAACCCCCCCAAGAAAAAAGAGGGCTATATGCCTAAGACAGGTTCCACCCCATTGCCTTCTACCTGCTGACTTTAATGCATGACATCGGCACTGACACTATGTAGGCACTGTTGGATAGGATATCACTTCACATGGTGCTGCCTGTAGAGTCAAATGTAGCACCAGGAAGAAGGCAAAAGAACATCATCACCTCCATTAAACAGGTAATTAGTTCACATATATGTATTTCAACTGTGTATTCAGTTGTTAGCCTGAAATTCCAATTTAAAGAGGAACTGAACCTAGCTAGGGAAATACTAAAACTCAGCCACTACAAGTACTGTAGCGGCTGACTTTTAAGAAACATATACTTACCAGTCAATGAAGTTCAGTGCTGTCTTCAATGCACCTGATTCTTTCCAGGGCTCTACCATCTTCCAATAGGGAGCCAACTGTCACTTCCTGATCACTCACAATTGGCACTCTACTGTGCATGTGCAAGACCACAGACTACAGGGAAACTGTCCTGTTGCTTCCTGGGATCTGTGATTTACGTATATCCAGGATGCTGAGGGCACATCATCTATGCCCAGGTGAGGAATAAAGAATTTAGAGCAAGTACCACCAAAAAAAGGTACTAACTTCCCCCCAAAATTGTGATTTTTGTTAACATGCTTGGGGGAAGAAAGAGGATGATGCAGGGGCGGACTGAAAACTCATGGGGCCCCCGGCAATAGGGGATCATGGGGCCCCTGTGTCCTTGCCCAAACTCAAAAAAGCCTATGAAAAAGGTACCAGGGGCATCTCATGGGGCCCCCTACTGACCCCGGGCCCTCGGGCAGTGCCGAGTTTCCAAATAGTCAGTCCGCCCCTGCGATGATGCTGAGTATTATTTTTTCAGGTGAAGGTCCACTTTAACTATATAAATACGTAGTAGGAAATAGGGCTAAATATTATATGCTAAGGACTCATTTGTTATTGCTACCTGCAGCCTTGAATCCGACTAATCGTGTCTATGTCTCATAACTTTAGTGTTCCCCATGCTTTAGCGAGAGATATACTAAAGCTGGTAAAACTCTTACTGATACATTACAGGTCTGTAAGAGTTCACAGATCAGTTTAGCAGAAACAATAACATTCATGTGTTTCAGCCAATTTCCAAGAATAAAGACATTAAAGGTGGAGTGTTAGGTAAATGAACACACTACAGAAGGCGCTTTCCCTGTAGTCAACAAAAATCTGAATAATTACGATGGGACTTTGTTTGTACCTCCAACAGTGAAAGATTTTTAGATTAAAAAGAATATCAAAGCATCATTTAAAAACAACATAGTGCAGGAGGCTAAGTTGTAAATACAGTGAGGTCATTATTTTGGTCTTTGCTGTTTCACCATGGACAGTTTTTTGTATGGAATGACATACATTTTGGTATTTGTTTTTTTGCTTATGCTATGCTATTATATACTGTACATTGTCTGAAATTTGGATATATTATTTTTTTTTGTTTTCACAGTACAGCAATTTCCAGCAATGTTACCTGTGAGGCTTCAAAGGTCCTGATGAAGCAGATTGTTCCACAAAATGTGTAGACCAAAGTATTTACAACTTAGCCTCCTGTTGTTTTTAAATTATGTTTTGATACCTTTTTTTTTTTTAAATCTTTGTTATACTAAATTGTAATAAAATGTTGTAATTTTATCTTATAAGTGTCTAATGTATACATTCACTATCAGAGATACAAAGTCTTATTATTATTCAGATTTTTGTTTCTGCAAATTTACTGTCTCCATACTCTGGAGAAGCCACTAAAATACATATTTGATCTCTATACCATAATTCATGATGTAGCAACCAAATAAACACTTTCACAGCTAGGTGAGGAGTTTAGGGAGCAATGACATGAACACCTGAGTCTTGTAAGATTTAGCATTCTTCATTTTGAATGTTCAAAAAGTGAAAGTGGTTGTAAAGATTACATTTTTTTTTTACCTTCATGCATTCTATGCATGAAGGTAAAAAAAACCTGTGTGCCGCATCCTCCCAGCCCCCCTAATACTCACCTGAGCCCCTCTTGATCCATTAATGTTCACTGGAGCATCGGCTGTCCTGGTTCTCCCTCTCCTCATTGGCTGAGATCAGGGGCGGACTGACAACTCATGGGGCCCCCGGGCAATTGGGGATCATGGGGCCCCTGTGTCCTTGCCCAAACTCAAAAAAGCCTATGAAAAAGGTACCAGGGGCATCTCATGGGGCCCCCTACTGACCCCGGGCCCTCGGGCAGTGCCCGAGTTTCCAAATGATCAGTCCGCCCCTGGCTGAGATACAGCAGCGAGAGCCATTGGCTCCGACTGCTGTCAATCACAGTTAGTGAACCAATGAAGAGAGAGCAGGGGGCAGGGGCGAGCCACTGCTCTATGTGTCACATGGATGCACAGAGCAGGGCTTGGGAGCAAGTGCGCATCAGTGCCCCCATAGCAAGCGGTTTGCTATTGGGGGCAATGGTCAAGGGGGAGGAGCCAGGTACACCGATGGGGACCCAAAAAGATGCCGATAGGGGCTGCTCTGTGCAAAACCAATGCACAGAGCAGGTAAGTATGACACATTTGTTATTTAATTAAAAAAGAAAAAAGCTTTAATGTCACTTTAAATTAGAACATGGATTAATCGGTAGGGAGAGGAAAATAGAGACCATGTCACCAGCCTACAGGTAAAAACACAGAAAAATCAAATGTTTAAATATTTACTTGAAGCATTATTCCTTACCTTCAACTTTTTTTTTATTCATTCACAATGTGCCTCTGAACTGGCTAGCAAATTTGACTACTTTGGGAAGAGCAGACCCCTCCCTCCTTGCACATCATGGCCTTCCTGTCTATTTAATGTCTGTGCTGGACCAGCTCCTCTGTCCCTCCCCCTAAACATCCTACATTACATTTTATGTACTAGCCTGGGGAGGAACAGAGGGGGATACTATAAAGTGTCACTTGAGTCTGCTGGGGCTGATGACTACATTGAACATGGCAGCACCTAGCAGCAGTCTCAAGGCTTTTGTAGGTCTTCGCAAGGGAGGTTTTATAGGTAAATAACTTGTCTAATATATATTAAATGCACATATATTCCTTTGGGAAGATTGTTGTTGAATTGAATAGTCTAGCAACAGGGTCACTTTAAAAGATTCCAAATTGTACTTGCACTTGTACGACGATATTATAAAATATGGAAAAAGCTGGAATTCCATGAAGCCTATTGGTCCTTTAAAGGGTTTAGGTTACATTACTCCCTCCAGCTGCCTTCATAATTAATGCCGGGATAGAGTGACCTATTAAGTGTTACAGTGCTGATAGAGTGAAATATTACCGAGTCAAAGCGCGGTATGGTGCATGATAAATATGTGAAGCAGGGACGACTGGCTGGGCGGAGGGATGGATTTGGTCGGAAGCCGGAATTGATTGTGCAGTCAGGTGGGAAAATGAAAAGTGTGAAAAAACCCGGACAATTAGTGCATGACCTGCTATGCCGAGGTCTCACGGAGAGAAAAGTCAGAGGATCACTGAGCCCCGACCATCAGCAAACAAGCCAAGCAGGCGAGAGAGAATGGAAACAGGGGGTTGGCAGGCAGCTCAGTACTTTCTGTTACTGACGGCTTTTATCATCTAGTTTTTTTTTTAACAGGGAATAAGTTAATAAAATGATAGAGCAGATGTCTCTACGAGTGAAGTAAACAGCATTCTGCAGGTTTCTTAACTAGATGAAAGGAAAAAGAAGTGAGAATTTTTTTATTTGTCTCTCACAGTCATTTTATCGATGTTGTATGACAAATCGGGGTTACCTGGGGTTGCATTTACCATTAAACACAAACAGAAGGATGCCAACAACAGGGAGGAGAACAGAAAAAAGAACAAAAAAATTGGCCTCCTACCCGCCTTTAACTGATCTTAAATAAAGACATTTTGGCAAATCTAGAAATAGAAATAAAAAAGGAATATGTGAGCAGTCACAAGACACCCTGCAGCTCAACAATTATTAATAAAGATGACACAGGTTTGTTGTGTAATGAGGAAGCACATCTGCTCTTGATCCCGTTCCTGCTCAGGCCTCGGGCAACTTCTATGATCTGGTGGAATATTATCAACATGGGACACCCAGGGATCCCAGGAGATGACTGCAGGGTAACTCAGACTGGCCTAACAGCACTCGCTGGAACAAACAATGGTCCCTGTAATGTCCCAGTGGTTGCAAGCCCATTTCCAGTAGATGTCCCCATATCAGGGGCGGACTGACAACTCATGGGGCCCCCAGGCAATAGGGGATCATGGGGCCCCTGTGTCCTTGCCCACACTCAAAGCACACCCAAAAAAAGCCTATGAAAGGTATCAGGGGCATTTCATGGCCTCCTACTGACCCCGGGCCCTCGGACAGTGCCCGAGTACCCGAAAGGTCAGTCCGCCCCTGCCCCATATACGTTAGAAGAAGGATGTAGTCCACACACACAGCATTTCTTTTGCAGGTTTAAAAAATTAACCTCTTACTGCCCACGTAACACATACAGTATGTGCACTGGCAAAGGGGGTGGGATTTAGTGCCCACACAGCACACATATCAGTTTATTGATGGCCGAGGTTTCTGTTCTGAGAATGCGCTCATTGCACACACCCAACATAGTGACTAAGCTGTCAAAGACAGCTCCTGGTCCCTAGTAATTTTCAGGCACAAGCAGGACTTGCTTTCAATTATGTGACTACTGTAACAGCCAGTCTCAGTGACTGGTCAGTCCTTCAACCCCAAGGCATAAAGACCCCATTAAAGGGATGCCAGGGCTGGGCAGGAAGGGGTTAATAATTTTAATATACCAGCTCACGGGGGGCAATGGCACATGGCTTATAAAATCCAACAGTTCAGGCATAAGGAGAGAGATGAGAAACAAGAGACTCATTACCTGACAATAGGGCTTGAATTCATATTCGAGTCGAACATAAGTTAGACTCGAATATGGGCTGTTCATGTGTTCGGCGAACACACGAATGGTAAGGACATTTGGCGGGCTATTCACCCACCGCACCCCACAATGCACTGCGCCCTGACAGTACATTGTGATTGGCCAAAGCAATGCACCTGACCAAAGGTCAGGTGCAATGCTTTCACCAATAACAGTGAATGATGATGTCACAAGGGAGCGCCCCCTTGTGACGTCATCAAAGTATTTAAGAAATGTCATCCCAGCGCAGCTGTCAAATGGCGGAGCCAGCATCGAGAGTGGAGCATTATTCTTTTTCTTTTATCAGGGCAGCAGTGGCGGCAAGTATTGTGATTAACGTTGAATCTACTTCGGGGGTCATTTTTAAAATTTTTGTCTTTAATAAAGGACTTGCCCCAAAGCACCCCCCATGTTGAGGGCATGTGGCCTGGTATGGTTCGGGGGGGGGGGGGGGTGCGCTCGCTCATCCACCCCCTTTCCTGACCTGCCAGGCTGCATGATCTGATAAGAGTCTAGTATGGATGTTGGGGGGGGGCACGCCATTTTTTTTTACATTTTGGCATGGGGGTTCCACTCAAAATCTATACCAGACCCAAATGGCTTGGTGTTTATGGGGGAGGGGGCCTTTTTTTTTTTTTTACAAATGTAATTGCCGGGCATTGTCATAAGTTCTTATTACATTCGTCTGTCAGCGGGGAACCCAAATGACAGCTGAAAAATTAAAGAATGTCTTCACTACTAAAATACTACATGACTTAATAATATAACTAATGCAGTATTTTAGTAGCTGTGCATTATCTTACTGCATACTCAGATGCGATGAGATACCGCTTAGTGAATTGTCCCTGTTCAAAGTTCACGGTTGAACTTTCGGTAGGTTTGAATGTTCGACCGGACAAGGGTGTGTTCTACCCATCACTTCATGACAAGGAGGGGTGTCCACAGCGCCAATATTCCCCTGAGGGATATTAAAGATCTAATTAAAAAAATATTCTGGCTTTCCCCCTAAGGAGAGTTACTGAAGAAGTCCCGAATGGACGCAATGCATATAGAGGTGGCCCTCATATTAATGACATCATCAAGCTAGGCAAATCTGTGTGTCATTCCCAAAGTGGTGAGCAACACCCAGGGGCGGACTGACAACTCATGGGGCGCCCGGGCAATAGGGGATCATGAGGCCCCTGTATCCTTGCCCAAACTCAAAAAAGCCTATGAAAAAGGTACCAGGGGCATCTCATGGGGCCCCCTACTGACCCTCTTGGGCAGTGCCCAAGTTTCCAAATGGTCAATCAGCCCCTGGCAACACTGGTGCAATGGGTCTGTCGGCTTTGTTTTGGGAAGAAGATAAGCCTTATGTGATATGCATTTTTTTTTTTATTTGAATGTCTGAAAGTTGCTTTAACCCTTTGCGCTTTTTAATAAAGTAAATTCAGAGAGCACTATATATTTTTTTTTTCTCCTCCACATGATTGTATATACTATCTGAGGATGTGGTTAGGATCAGAGTCCGGATTGTCTAGTGCACGGAGTGAAGCTTCTTGTTTGTTACCCCTTAAAGTGGAAGTAAAGTCCACCTTTTAACCTATAATAAGGCTTACCTGCAGATACAATGATTATCTCCTTAACTTGCACTGTTGAGGAGATATTCACAGAGGATGCAGCAGGTGACATCACTGACACATGGGCTCCGAAGGGAAGGGATACCCCTACCGTACCTTCAAAGCTTTGTGTCGGGGCTACCGCATCCATGCGTGGCAGTGACGTTATCACCGCCCTGTCCATTCATACAGCTGGAGTCCACAAACCTGGAAGGAAGACCAAGATAAGATGGAAGAGCCAGGGAGCCGTGATATCGCTGCGCTGGAGGGCCCTGTGTACAGGTAAGTCTTTGATAATGTGCTAGTATGCGGTGCATACTAGAATGTTTATGACTTATGACTGCAGGGGTCCTGTTTTTTTTTCTATTTTGTGGCGGTTTACTACCACTTTAAGGGGATATGGAGTCAAAACTCCATATGTCCCCTTTAGAGGTCACATTGTGGAGGTGAGCAGCTGTGTGTGTCATGCGGTAGAAGAACTCAGCATTGCACTGGTCTGAAGATTGAATATTGCAGAGTACTCTTTTCACACACTTGTGGAATTAGATTTAACACCAACAAACTTTAGTCGTTTACTTCTTTGCACTTTAAATAAGCTTTTCTGTTACATTGTGATTTATGAAATTTCTGAAGAACTAGATTTTTATACATCATATAGGGTTTTATCACTACTTTTGATGAATTGATAGCATGAATTAAGTATTTTATTTGATATGTTTTAATTTATTTATGGTTACACCAACTTTTTAGATTGCCAATCAATTTATATGGTATAAGGTGGTAGGAATGCAGTATTTTGATTATGAATTCCCCCTAAGGGGAGGCTAAAATGTTACTGGCCTCCCACTTACAGTTTATTGTTTTTCTAGGCCTCTGGACAAAAGAATACAGAAAGCTCACGTCTCACAACTTGGCTGCTTTACTCTGCTCACCCGCTGTCTCCTAACAGGCTAAGTATAATCTATGCCTTACCCAAAGTGCCCTACTGCTGGCAGGGCTGGCACTTAGATTGTTACTAAACCTAGGAACCTGCATTCACTATATCTGGTCTCCCACAATACACACAACATGAAAATGCAATTATTTTAGTTAATATAAACTGCTAAATACCTATTCTCATCAGGTGTTAGAGCATTTTTGTGACTTCTATCAGTGTCCAGCCAAGCACTAGCTAAAGCTTGTAGGAGGAGTTTTCTTTCTGCTCTAGGAGTTTGCAAAACCCCTGACTCTCTGCCTGAGCAGTGTTGATTGGCCCTGTGCTAATCACATGCTCTCTCCCAAGGAAAAAATAATTCTCTAGCAATACACACCAAACTGAGCATGTGCAGAATGGCTACGGTTCAGTCTGTCTTATCAGGAGATAAGAGGTGGTCACTTGAAAAAGAGGAGGAACAGAGAAGAAAGGGCCTTTTTTTACACAATGCAGAAGATTATCCCCTTAGGTTCCACAGTGAGTATAACAAGCATGCTTTACTGCATATACAAACTGATTTTACTGTTGTGGGTTTGGTAACACTTTAACCCAAGGTAGCTCTAGTAGCAGAAATAGCTGACATTCACAGAGTAAAGATGGGGGCATCTATTGGCGAAACTGGGGAACTGCACCATCTGCATTTGTTTGTGTCTTTTATATCTGCTTGGAAATCAGCTTTAACATTAAGTCATATTTTAAAGAATAATAAAACCCGAAAAAAAACTTTGTGTGAACGAAAGGATGTTTAAATTATTTACTTGCTTGTCATGTAAAAGATAAAAAAAAAATGTATTTTAGGGTCTTGTGCACTGTTTGTAAAGCTCATTGCTTATATGCTGCATGCTACAATAAAGAAGATATTTATTACACCTGTGAGTGTTGTAAATTGAACTTGTTTTGGCTGCAGTAATCTGTATTTGCTATGTAACTGTTAAAAGCCATGGTTTATGATAATGCTTGTGTATTCAAGGCAGGGGCGGACTGAGAACTCATGGGGCCCCTGGGCAATAGGGGATCATGGGGCCCCTGTGTCCTTGCCGAAACTCAAAAAAGCCTATGAAAAAGGTACCAGGGGCATTTCATGGGGCCCCCTACTGACCCCGGCCCTCGAGCAGTGCCCGAGTTTCCAAATGGTCAGTCCACCCCTGATTCAAGGCTTTACCACTGTAGATACTTTTGGTGATGGAATTGAGCAAGCAGGGGTTGAGGGACTGCATGGATAAGTCACAAGCCTCTCTGCAGCCCAGGAAGAATATAAGTTTCTTTTTATCAGACCTTGTCATGATGTAGAGTAAAATATACTGTAAGCAGGGGCAGACTGACATGGGGCCCCCGGGCAATAGGGGATCATGGGGCCCCTGTGTCCTTGCCCAAACTCAAAAAAGCCTATGAAAAAGGTACCAGGGGCATCTCATGGGGCCCCCTACTGGCCCCAGGCCCTCGGGCAGTGCCCGAGTTTCCAAATGGTCAGTCCACCCCTGGTCCTCCATTTATCAGGGCAGGAATTGTTCTTTAAGTTAAAATACTGTTTCCTTACGGATTTTACTCACATATAAAACGAACAGATAAGGAATAAAAATTGTCTATGCAGCAATTTTGCTCTTTTCTTCAGAATGTTTTTATTTAAGTAAATTGAATATGGAAAAAAGCTGAAAAAAAATCACATGCATTAATGTTTCCTATCTGCATGGATTTCCTAGAGTGAACAAAGCCTAAATATAATTATCCTATGGCTGTTCATAGGCTAAAGCTGGCCATGCATGATTCATAGACAGGACCAATTTGTTTCATTATGAATTGAAATTCGGACAAAATTTCCGTTATTTGGATTTTGATGCATCTGAATTTCTGAATCACAATAGTAGCAAATTTCAATGAATCCAAAATAAATTTTAACTAAATGAATTATCTGAATTCAAATTCGAAAATGATTTGAATTCGAAATGGAAACATATTGCAATAAATACGGTAAGGTATAAACGTGAAATAGGATGATAATTCCTACCTAGGCTGCTGAATAGAATAAAACATAATATTAAAGGATAGAAAAGAATAGAATAGAAAGAAATAAAAACAGAAGATAATAGAGTAAAACAGAATATTAAGGAATATAATAGAAAAGAATAAACTAAAATACAATAGAATAAAAATACAATAGAAAATAAAGGAATAGAAGATAAGAGCAAATAATAAAATAGAAATACAATAGAATAAAATAAAACAAAATAGAACAGGAAAGAATAGAAAATAATAGAATAAAACAGAAAATAATAGAAAAATTAAGAATAGAACAGAATACAATATAAAATAAAGGAAGAGAAGAGAAGAAAGCAGAATAGAATAAAAAGGAATAGCAAGGAATAGAATAGAATGAAATAGAAAAAACAGAATAGAATAAAACAGAATATAATAAAATAGAAAATAAGGTAATAGAATAGAATACAATAAAAAATAAAGGAATACAATAGAACGGAATAGAATGGAATAGAACATAATAGAATGGAATAGAATACAAAATAGAATAGAAAATAAAAGAATAGAACAGGGTAGAATAGAAAACATTTAATGCATACAATAGAATAAAGTAGAAAGAATATAGCTGTCTTCCTAAATTTTAATTTCAAAATTCAAATTTCGAATTGATTTGAAAATAACGAATATTTTTGGAGTAAATCCAAATATATGAAACAAATTCCAAAAATGGATCATTTTAACATACCCAAAATGACAAAACAAATTTTTACCTTAAAGTGTTACTAAACCCAGGACCCTGCATTCACTATATCTGGTCTCCCACAGTACACACAGCATGGAAATGCAATTATTTTAGTAAATATAAACTACTAAATACCTTTTCTCACCAGCAGTTACAGCCGTCTTGTGACTTCTATTAGCGTCCAGTAGTGCATATGTTAAACCTTGTAGGAGGAGTTTTCATTCTGCTCTAGGAGGATGCAAAACCCCTGATTTCTGTCTGGACAGTGCTGGTTGGCTCTGTGCTGATCACTTGCACTTTCCCAAGAAAAGAAAACTCTCTAGCAATACACACCAAACTGAGCATGTGCAGAGTGACTCCATATGATATGTGTTATCAGAAGATCAAAGGGGGACACTGGAAGAAAGGGAGGATCAGAGAAGACAGGATCAAAGGGCCTTTTTTCACAATGCAGAGGATCAACCCTTCGGTTCCACAGTGCTTTACTGCATATACAGACTGATTTTACTGTTGTGGGTTTAGTAACACTTAACACTAAGTTTATTGCACAGGAAGTGGCAAAGACACTGGGTTTTGCCAGGATCAACATTTATATTTGCCCTGCATACCTTTATTTCTCTGTGGTTCGGCTACCACAACCTTGAAATTATTCTTGATAAAGAGTTATGTGCTACCCATATTTCCAAAGATGTTTCTAAAAATATTAAGTAAGACATATTACCTATATTACTCCTTACTCTTTCCTTATGTTTGCATTTATTATTAGGGCAACCCTGACAAACGCCAACTACTCTATGGACATGACTGAAGCGAATTCGATAAGTGATAAGTGGGGAGAAAAAAAAACCCTGGACTCTGTGGTCCCTGACAAGATGCCAGATGCTGATGGTCATTGTGAGGAAAAATGCATCAGTATCTTTGAGACAAAGAATGTCCTGATGTTGGTGGTCAGATGGGGCCATTAGTAGAGAAAAAAACCCCAAAAAAACAAAACATCGGTGGCAATGTCAACGGGGCTGGAAGTATCCAGAAGTTTAGAAGGGGCCTAGAGGATACCATGGTGGTCGGTCAGGGCCAGGCCCAGATCTAGGGGAGTGCTAGGCTTGGTTATGCCCCCCAGATTTGTATGGGCAATTCTATGCAGCACCTTTTACTCCCAGGTGGGAAAATACATCAGTATTTTTGATTGTATTGCCCCAGGAAAGTGATTTGGAAGGTGGGCTTTAAAGAGATTCTCTTCAGTTAGCCCTGCATACCTTTATTTCTCCGTGGTTCGGCTACCACAACCTTGAAAATATTCTTGATAAATAATTATGTGCTACCCATATTTCCAAAGATGTTTCTAAAAATATTAAGTAAGACATATTACCTATATTATTCCTTATTCTTTCCTTATGTTTGCATTTATTACTAGGACAACCCTGACAAACGCCTACTACTCTATGGACAAAAAAACCCCCAAAAAAACAAAACATTAATGGCAATGTCAACGGGGCTGGAAGAGTATCCTGAAGTTTAGAAGGGGTCTAAAGGCTACCATGGTGGTCAGTCAGGGCCAGGCCCAGATCTAGGGGAGTTCTGGGCTTGGTTATTCTCCCCAGATTTTAGTTATACCTCCCCCCCAGGTCTCTGAGGGTGCATTCACGAGCCAGTCTGATGGGGACAGTTGATGCAAGATGGCACATTGATGGGAATAATTGATGTAAAGAGGCACTCTAATGGGAACAGTTGATATATGGGGGAAAACTGAGGGGACAATTGATGTAAGGATGCACTCTATGAGGACAACTGATGTAAGGGGGCAATCTGATAGGGACAAATGATGTAAGGGGGCATTATCAAGGGGACCCTGATGTAAAAGGGGATTCTGATAGGGACACCTGATATAAGGGGGCACTGGTTCTGTTTATTCATCCTAATCTAATTACAGCCCAAAACATACTAGCATTCCCTGTTCACTCCTGCATTGCCTCTGCACTATCTGTCAGACATTACTTCTCAGTCAGGCCTTTTGGCACAAAGGTGTACTGAGTGAACAAGTGCATACTGGTTCCCTGCATCGGTGACAGACTGCTACTGATTCAAAAACAATGTTGACATTATGCCCATGTTTTTTCCTGCACCCCCAGACCAGATAGGCTAGATCTGGCACTGCTCAGGGCTAGAGGAGTAACTGGAGGTTAGTGAGGGGCAAAACAGTACCATCATGGTCAGGGGAGGACATGGGGTACAGTGGAGATCAGTGTGGGCTCCCCCAGTTTCTGAAAAGAGCAGGAGCAGAGCACTGGAAAAGTTTTCCTGTGCTTGGTTCCTGGCATAATCCAGATCCCAGGAAAGCCGGGATTGTGTTTCATTTTGGAATCTGGGACAGTTGAGGGTTGTGCAAGTATATACTGTAATTAATGAATAAAAATACAACTGAGCTATATGATAACCATATGATGTCTAGTACGTTATATGATGAATTTGTATAGCATTTTATATATGTAAAAGCCAATTCACAAATGTTTACGTCTGTGATTTAGAATGAGAACTCATAGCTGCCTATTAACAATTTTTCATGCAACTGGTTTAAAAAAAATCTTTTAATGATTTACACGATACAAGCTACTCTGACGAGTGATATATAGGCAAACTGGAGACATGGATTATTTCCTGTAATAGACAGTCAAGCTTTAGTTTTCACTCTTGACAAGCAAGCAAAGGGCCCAAGAAGATTTATTGCCTCCATCCCCCCATTCCACATTCAATGAATGTCAAAGAAGTACAAATGCGTATTTACTGTGCATAGATGGATAGATTTAGGTGACAAGTAGCCTTGGTGACACCCTAAAGGCCCGATTTACACTGCTGCTCCTAAACGTGAGTCTAGGAGATTTTGGTGTTTTTTTGCCAAAGCCCCTGAACTCAACTCAATAAAAGCCTATATGTCCATGCACACGTAGGCTTTTATCAGAGTTTGGGAGCAGCAGAATTTAGGGATAGTTAAACCAGAGGAACATTTTGGACAAAAAATGACAAATGCTGCAAAAACGTGTGTAAATGCGCCTATGTGCTAGCCGTGTTTAGCACTTGAGTGTTTATTCATTTCAATGACAAGTACTCTGGTCAATTAAATAAATCCAAGCACTAAACATGGTACTGCTTTTACACGCTTTTTCGGCTGACAGTAGAGTTGACATCTAATGGCACTTCCAGTGCACACGTAATCTAACTCTTGCACTGTCCATAATATGCAATTGGGACAGACATAGAACATCTCCTACTCCTTCTGCTCAAAGGGTGTCAAGAGCAAATTATTCTGCCAGAAGGGCAAGGAGTAAATGGGGTACTTCTTTCTGATGCTAATTATTTACAAACCAGGAGCATGGATAGAACCTCATAAAGAATGCCTCTCATTTCTCACCTGCCCTAGAAGTGAGGAGTGTTTAGGTTTATGTGACTGGCAAAAGGGTCCCAGCACTTGTCAGACCCACATCTCATGTAAATGGACTCCTAAATTCCCAGATGCTGTGCCTGTGTATTTTGCACTAAAAAAATGTAACAAAGGTTTAGGGTCAAGACGGACAATGCATATTTTTCTTTGTTTCAGCCTTTATAGCTGATTGCAAAATCATTTATTTTTCAAAGTGTTTAGGTTAGTTCTTTCATGAGTGATATTCCCATCCTTGATGGGTGCTGGAAAAACTAAAAACAACCCTGTGGTCTCTATAGGGCTTTGGGGGTATAATATCAGGGACTGGCTTCCCTGCTATACCCATCACAAGTGGATTCCATTAAACCTG